CTTTGGCAGTGTGCGTGTTTTGAAGATGTGGATTATTTGTACCATAGCAGGAGGTTGAGAGAGGTGATGAGAGTTTTATGGTTTTACCTCATAGCCAGGTAATGCTGGGAATCCACATGACCTTTCTCCTGCTTCATACTGGCACTTGTTGATGCTGGTGTAGAACATGGTGAAGGTAGACTGGCTATGAAGACAACCGTACAGGTGGGTAGAGGTAGAGACAGGTGGGTGGAGGTCGAGACAGGTGGGTGGAGGTCGAGACAGGTGGGTGGAGGTAGAGATAGGTGGGTGGAGGTCAAGACAGGTGGGTAGAGGTAGAGACAGGTGGGTGGAGGTGGAGACAGGTGGGTGGGTAGAGGTAGAGACAGGTGGGTGGAGGTCGAGATAGGTGGGTGGAGGTAGAGACAGGTGGGTGGAGGTAGAGATAGGTGGGTGGAGGTCGAGACAGGTGGGTAGAGGTAGAGACAGGTGGGTGGAGGTCGAGACAGGTGGGTGGAGGTAGAGACAGGTGGGTGGAGGTCGAGACAGGTGGGTGGAGGTAGAGACAGGTGGGTGGAGGTCGAGACAGGTGTGTAGAGGTCGAGACAGGTGGGTGGAGGTCGAGACAGGTGGGTGGAGGTCGAGACAGGTGGGTGGAGGTCGAGACAGGTGGGTGGAGGTAGAGACAGGTGGGTAGAGGTAGAGACAGGTGGGTAGAGGTAGAGACAGGTGGGTAGAGGTCGAGATAGGTGGGTGGAGGTCGAGACAGGTGGGTAGAGGTAGAGATAGGTGGGTAGAGGTCGAGACAGCTAGGTGGGTAGAGGTAGAGACAGGTGGGTAGAGGTCGAGATAGGTGGTTGGAGGTCGAGACAGGTGGGTAGAGGTAGAGACAGGTGGGTAGAGGTAGAGACAGCTAGGTGGGTAGAGGTAGAGACAGGTGGGTGGAGGTCGAGACAGGTGGGTTGAGTTAGAGACAGGTGGGTGGAGGTAGAGACAGGTGGGTAGAGGTCGAGACAGGTGGGTGGAGGTCGAGACAGGTGGGTGGAGGTAGAGACAGGTGGGTGGAGGTCGAGACAGGTGTGTAGAGGTAGAGACAGGTGGGTGGAGGTCGAGACAGGTGGGTGGAGGTCGAGACAGGTGGGTGGAGGTCGAGACAGGTGGGTGGAGGTAGAGACAGGTTGATGGAGGTCGAGATAGGTGGGTGGAGGTCGAGACAGGTGGGTAGAGGTAGATACAGGTGGGTGGAGGTAGAGACAGGTGGGTAGAGGTAGAGACAGCTGGGTAGAGGTCGAGATAGGTGGGTGGAGGTCGAGACAGGTGGGTAGAGGTAGAGACAGGTGGGTAGAGGTCGAGACAGTTAGGTGGGTAGAGGTAGAGACAGGCGGGTAGAGGTCAAGATAGGTGGTTGGAGGTCGAGACAGGTGGGTAGAGGTAGAGACAGGTGGGTAGAGGTAGAGACAGCTAGGTGGGTAGAGGTAGAGACAGGTGGGTGGAGGTTGAGACAGGTGGGTGGAGGTCGAGACAGGTGGGTGGAGGTAGAGACAGGTGGGTAGAGGTCGAGACAGGTGGGTAGAGGTCGAGACAGGTGGGTAGAGGTTGAGACAGGTGGGTGGAGGTAGAGACAGGTGGGTGGAGGTCGAGACAGGTGGGTAGAGGTAAGGACCGGTGGGTGGAGGTAGAGACAGGTGGGTAGAGGTAGAGACAGGTGGGTGGAGGTAGAGACAGGTGGGTAGAGGTAGAGACAGGTGGGTGGAGGTCGAGACAGGTGGGTGGAGGTCGAGACAGGTGGGTAGAGGTCAAAACAGGTGGGTGGAGGTAGAGATAGATGGGTGGAGGTCGAGACAGGTGGGTAGAGGTAGAGACAGGTGGGTAGAGGTCGAGACAGGTGGGTGGAGGTAGAGACAGGTGGGTGGAGGTCGAGACAGGTGGGTAGAGGTAAGGACCGGTGGGTGGAGGTAGAGACAGGTGGGTAGAGGTAGAGACAGGTGGGTGGAGGTAGAGACAGATGGGTAGAGGTAGAGACAGGTGGGTGGAGGTCGAGACAGGTGGGTGGAGGTAGAGACAGGTGGGTAGAGGTCGAAACAGGTGGGTGGAGGTAGAGACAGGTGGGTGGAGGTCGAGACAGGTGGGTAGAGGTAGAGACAGGTGGGTTGAGGTAGAGACAGGTGGGTAGAGGTAGAGACAGGTGGGTGGAGGTAGAGACAGGTGGGTAGACAACTGTACAAGTTGGTAGTAGTAGAGACAGAAACAGGTTGGTAGAGACAGAGACAGGTGGGTAGAGATAGAGACAGGTGGGTAGATAAAACAAAAGTGATGAAGACAATGATGATATATTACAGACTTTCATTCTGTGACTTGATAATGCTACATGTTAATGTCTGTTATGTTTCTAGATCATCCATGATGTGTGTTTCGGGAAGGGTCTCCCGGCATCTATTCCCATTCAGATTGTAAATTCCATGAATACTATAGCAATGTAAAGCCAACATTCCCCCATACATATTCCTGTGGCTGTGGCCTGACTAGATGACATTGCTTCAATCATAAAGCAATCAAATTTGACGTTTCAAAGATTTATTTCTATATGTAGGCCCCTAGATATGTCTGTGTAAATCTCCAGACTACCCTGTCCTTTGAATGCATCAACTGGGAGATGTGCTTGCTTCAGAAGGCTGGAAGCAACAGCTTGTGTAAGAATTGATTTGACAAAGGACTAGTCATGCATTAATATTGGCTGGAATTCCAGACAGCTGTTTCTTAGCATCTATCCATTCGGAAATTCTTCACTGAAGTGAGAATTTAGATAACATAGCAAAAATATAACCAGAACTTATTATATAAATATTCATTACATGAAATACTTTAATGCTTATGGGAATTCAAGAAATGCCTAGGGACTAGTATAAGATTAAATTATTAAAATCTGTTTGGTATTGTATGGTAACCTTTACTATTCACATGTCTAGATAATATCAACAAATGTTGTGCTCCTATAACTTTGTGACCATCACAGTCGCCAAGTGGTTAATGTGTTTGCTGCATATTGAAGACCTGAGTTTGGTTTTCCACAAGGATTGATGCATGAAGTCCGTCTTTGTGTCTTTCACTCCAAAATTGCTTGAATAATGTCAAAAGTAGCGGAAAACATACACTCCCTTACTCATGCCTTTGTGGAATGGGACCACTACAGTGGTCTATAGTGGTAGAGCGTCTGTCGGGGGTTCGATCCCTGGCCGCATCATGCCAAAAGATGTTAAAAGATGTTACTTGTTGTTACCCTGCCTGGCGCTCGGCATTAAGAAGGTAAAACAAGGGCTGTTGGCTCGGAGTCAGTATACTGTGTCTGAGTGAGGTATTCATGTTAAACTGTGGCATGGTATCTCAGTGGGTTAACACTATAAAATCAGCATTAGTCCAGACTAGTACAAGCAGCCACACACACAATCACACACGTGCATGCATGTCACAATAATCCCGAATGTGATGTTAAACCCCATTTCACCTCACCTTACCTTTGTAGAAAGGGAACCTCGAAGGCATGTGATGTAATGAAAGAGTTTACTTAACAAATATTTATTGACAATATCATATTTTCCAGAAACCTACTTATTTTGATGATTCTGAAACAAAACAAACAAATAAACATGCTTTCTTGTGATAAAAAAGAAGAACTTTTGCCACACGTCATTCATAAATCAAATACCTAACACCCATCCAAACATATGTCAATAAACAGGCGATGATGGAGAAGTTTGCAGGCTGCGTAGGGCTCAGTGCTGATACAGTTGTGTTGATGTGTAAGAAACATGGAGTAAATCTTTGCTTAACCTCAGCATCATACCCCTCACAGCATCTGCCTGAAGTGATATGTTCCACATGGTTTTACCATTCACACCATCCATTCACTGTATCTGGGAGAAGCCCTGTCACAACGCTAGATGAGCTTCAGAATGGAGGAGACTGAGCAAGACAGTGTTGTGTTGGATGATGTGGCATAGCAGGCAGTGGGCCTCGGGGTTTTATAAAGCTTGCATGACATCCTGTGATTTGTGTGTGACGAACAGCTGGGAAGGCTGATGTGTTGTTGATGTGTGTGGTAATGTTTCTTGTGCAGGATAATTGGTAGGGATGTCATGATACACTTTCCCTACGATACATATTGGGATACTTAATTCGTGGCAATTTTGTGTCATATTATATATTTCAAAGGGCATAAACACTATTAATAAGGCTTGAAACTTCCTGAATATCTGGTCTCATATTTGAAATCAAAATGTCTCATTTTAATCAATAAGTTATTTCAGATAAAACTGGAGTGGCAACATAAGTATTTTCTATTTTTAAATACAATAACAAATCCCCTGTTCGCGAAACAAAATTAAAAAATCAAATATAAATGAAAAGGACCATGTGTGAAACGACACAGGATTAAAATGTGAATCGATACAGATAAGCGTGTATTGTGTATCGTATCGTTTGAGAATATTATCGATGTATTAGTGAATAGGGACATCCCTAATATTCTGTGACATTTATTATCACCTTCACAGACTAGGTTGCAGAGTAAGATTTATTTCTGTGCATATCAAATATCTTTGGTGCATATCAGTTGCTTCTGATTTTCTAATTATATTCAGACACTGGGCTTTGTCTTGACCCACCTAGCACACTCGATACCGGTAACTGAGACCAGACACAAGGAACTTACTGATTTGCATCCTGCAGGTCTAGGAGGAGTAGTCACAACAATACTGACAAAGAAACACTATCTCGCCTGCTGTCACCTATGTTGGCATATGATGTTATGACATGGCATTGTATGGTGTTGCCCAGTTATAGGAATGAAAGCAGTAGATGAGAGAAAAGGAGAAAAAAACACTACATTATCTCAACACTTGGTGACAGTAGGAAGCTGATCAGAGTATGTAGAACAACTAATGGTAGGAACAGGACTTTATAGTCATCTTTGCTGATTGTATAGTGTGTATGTGTGATGGTGAAGGGTATTTTCATGTTCACAGTTGGAGCAAACTGAGATTGAGGATGGGCCACCACGAGACAAGTTGTACCGGATAGCGGACGAACTGCTGAAGACCGAGCGGGTGTATGTGGAGAGACTGCATCTCCTGCATCAGGTAAGTTTGCAACATCGAAGACTGAAAGGTGTTACGTACCTGTACACCGTCATGCATACCTTCAACAATGCGTATTGCAATATGACCTAGATCGGTTGGTATATTGTGAAACTTGGTACATTAGTGTATTTCTTTAGGTTTTATCAATAATGACATTAATAGATATTTTCCTGGTACAGCTAATCTCGGATGGATACAACTTGTCACTGTGCCTGGATTAAGTGTTGCTATGGTTACAAATACAATTGAGCCTCACGACTTTGAGATCAGTCCCAAAGAAAGAGAAGAAGCTGCTGTATAGGGCAGTTCAAACTGGAAGCAAATGCAGTAATGTGTTGAAGGCATTATACAGCAGAACGTATACACAGTAAAAACTGAAGTATCTCAGCAATAGACTGCAATACACAATACCAGGCTACACTGACCTAGCAACATCATCTACTTCACACGACTCCCACATGTCCACTACAAACATCCTGCATTGCAACATTGTCTACTACAAATATACTGCATTGCAACATTGTCTACTACACACATCCACTTCATGTACAACATTGTCAACTACAAACATACATTTCATGTGCATCATTGTCTACTACAAACATACTGCATTGCAACATTGTCTACTACAAACATCCACTTCATGTGCAACATTGTCAACTACAAACATACATTTCATGTGCACGATTGTCTACTACGAACATCCACTTCATGTGCATCATTGTCTACTACAAACATCCACTTGATGTGCATCATTGTCTACTACAAACATCCCCTTGATGTGCATCATTGTCTACTACAAACATCCACTTCATGTGCATCATTGTCTACTACAAACATCCACTTCATGTGCACGATTGTCTACTACAAACATCCACTTCATGTGCACGATTGTCCACTACACATCAAGTGAATGACGACAAATACACAAGTGTAGGGTTATATAAGAAAACGTGGATGACAACAAGGGAGTAGTAATCGTATTATCGACGCAAGCCGAAATCCGAAAATGCTTTCACTGCATGGATACTGTTTTTAGTATTAAACTATAACCATCTGGGGTATTTCCAAATGACGACGTCCGATGAGCTCCCTTGTTCTTTTTGTCTGTTTGTTTAGGCTGAAGAAATGAATTAACATGCGCCCTTTGTCGAAATCTTTATAGATCACAGTTAACCAATCAGTGTTCAAAAATGCGTAAAACAAATATTGCCTCCAGCCTCCAAGTTTATTTAGCTGTCCTTCCAGACGGTACCCCAGTCTCTGGTCACGCTCAGTTGCGTTGCGTATCATCCGGGTACTCACGGGGGAAAAACAATAACAAAGGCAACAACCAGTCCGTTAGATCAGTGCCCCTTTAATGCAAGGATCGGCAAAAGTTGTATCTGAAACTATTTTTTTTATCAGGAATAATATTTTCCAATATCTTGTTAATTTAGATGCAGCTTTTACTAAACATATTTAAAATAATAATAACCCAAAGCGAAGCAGCTGATCGCTATTGCCGGGTATTTTTTTTTACATGGAACCAGTCTGACCAGTAACCGTCAAGGCTCCCGTGCACGTGATCGCGAGAATTACGTGTTGACATAGAATCGTCCAACAAAAACAAATATGACTTTTAACGAATCAAAGTATGGCATTTATGATATATGTATCCATTCTCTGTCAACTAAAGTTTGTTTCAAGGCGTCAATAGCGGTAATCTGACCGTGGTTGCTGTTAATAACGGTGAGTTGTGCGATCTTCCGATGCAACGTGCAACATTTTCTACTACACACAATTACTACATGTGCAACATGGTCTACTGGACACTGCACATACAACATCATCAACAAGACAACATCTACAATGTGTGCACCATCTACAGTGTGAAACATCTGAGAGAGTTAAAAATATAGTTGAACCTGTTTTCTGTGGTTAAGAAAATGTTTGGTGAGGTGGGTGAAACAAGAGACATGTGTCTGAATGAACCGTCAGCTATGAGTGTAGAGAGGTGGTCGGCAGTGTAGGATAGACCCATGTAGAGAAAGACAAATGTGAAAATTGAGTTCAGTTATTTTCGGAAAGTGGATGAACTTCTCGATGAAGGTGTTGTGGACATACTCTCGAAGGAATCTGAAGACAGTCACAACCTACTTGAGTGAAATGGGGGCAGGCTTAGCCTTATGTTAGTGGACTTTCCCGACAGATTACACACTCAGGCCAATGGATGTACCTACAGCCAACAGGTTACATCCCCACACATGCCTTCTGCATAGTCGAGATCTGTGGCTCAAATCACTGACAAATCCAGACGAGGGAGGGGTATTGGGATGGGGGTGGGGAGGTGTAACAGGTGCTCACGGTGCCTCACCCACCTTTGTTTCAGATACCATGCAGTCAGCCGCCCATTAGACTAAAATCTAGTCTCTGAAATGAACATATCGTACATAAAAAAAACAGTTGTTCAGTTATCTTAATAAAAATATAATAAAAAGGAGCCCAATGACTCGCAGTGATCTAGACTTGCCAAACATTATAGACTTGCATGGGCTGTATTTGATATATATTTGTATCAGGGTCTGTAAGACAGACTAGCCGCCCATGTGTGTTTCTTACTTCATCACTGTTGTAGCACACACGACATTTTTCAAAATCCTGGAACTGCCCCTTCAGCCCACAACTCCCAAACAGTCAGTAATCAAGTTTCACTTTCATAGAATAGGTCTACAGCAACCAATACTGGCCTTGAAAGGCAACTATGCTTGTCGTAAGAGGCGACTGATGGGTGGTCAGGATCGCTCTCTGGTTATAGAGAATAAAAGAAAAAAATAATCCAACTCAAGTCTAGAATGATTTGGCAAGTCTGAATTGCCTCAGCTCTAGGCTGAAGTTAAGGATTGTTCTGGGCTCTGTTCAAAGTTTCTGTTTTATGTTGAAGATATACATATGTTGAAATAAGGTAACTTTATTTCTTGACTACATGTCAGTCTCCTACCTTCATAGCCCCCCCCCCCCCAAGCGAGGCAGCTAATCAGAGATGTTTCACCAGCCTCCATTCCAGGAAGTGTATTAGTATGAATACCATTAGCAGGTCAGATGGAATCTAGATTGACTCCTCTCGCCCTGGAGGCCAGGCCACCTACTTAGACAGATTAACCTCACTCTCAGGTGGAAGTTTGGCTCGTTTCCTAATGATAGAGAACAGTTACTTGGGAATACTCAAATTGTGTTGATGACTTAAGTATATTTACATTTTGAGAATTGTTTTTACAAAGAAGTGCTCTGGAACAGTCGTTTGAAGTAAATGTAGGTCAGCATATAGGAAAACAAGAGTTTACTATGAGGATTCCTTCAGTAGTGAGTAAACTGAATAAAGCATCATAAAGCTCCCAACTTACATACACAACATGCAATGTCTCTGTTAGGTTGTCGGTTATCTCATCAAGTTTAGAAAAAAAGCAATAATTAGAAACGTAACAAAGGTTTATGAAGTTAATGAAATGAATATTTTTGAATGTTTGCGTAAATTAATGGCATAGATGAAAAAAATAATAATTATTTGAAAAGTCTATATCAGTTGTCCAAATCTTTATAAATTATGCTGCAGAAATGTGTTCATTATTTCTAAATTGCATATGCTGTATATATGGTATAGTACATCGTAGACAGTTATTGTTTTTACATGGAAACCAGTTCTAAGGAAAGTTGTGTATTATACTCATTTCCCTTACATTAACTGTTCAATGTATTGTGTTATCTTCACAACTAATAGTCACCCTGTCCCCCATTGTGATATTGCTAAAATATTGCTAAAAGCGGCGTAAAACTACACTCGCTCCCTCACTTTAGTCTCCCACATATTTAAAGTATGACTCAAACGTTTTATTGACCTATGATAGGTGCATATACAAATATATATGTTGAATTATGTGCAATTTTAATAGGGTCGTGTTAGTTTGATTTCATCTCAGCCAGTGTTCAACATCTCCCTTCCAGTTAGGATACCAACCTAATCTTTATTGCTCTCTTAATAGCCATGAATGCCTGCAAGTTTATATGTAACCACCTGACAGCATGCCAGGCGAGATAGGAGCCTTATTGAAAATACTGGCTCAGCTTGAACGATCTTATCAGAATGGAGGTAACAACATTGTCCATATCTGGCTTATCTGTCTGAAGTGTTGTAGCAGAGTGGGGATGTCAACACTGACATCACAGGTGGGGACGCGAAGATGGGCCAGATATTTCATGTAGCCTTGACAAGGGCAGCAACAGAAGTGCACCTCTTGTGTCACAGCAGTCTCTCTAATATCAGATCTCAGTTCTCGCTACCGCTCTGAGGACATCCCATTGTGGGTCACGTCAGAACCACTTTGGCATCTTGCGGTGATTGGTAGACGATTGAGTTTATTTGGAAATTAATTTGTTTACATTTTGGGTATTAAATTTGCTATTATAGAACTTTTGCCATGAATGGTTTTAGTTATTAATATTCATCAATATCCTGTTTTAATGAATGAAAGATTTCAAGGACAAATTCAATGAATATATCTTCGGTATGTTGAATCCCAAGTCTTAAAACTCAGTATTCTGACGGAACATTTTAGGAAAAAAAGTATTTTACATATGTATGTTAAAAAGTAATCAATACATTTGCTTGGAAACTGAATTAAATCCTATCATTACAGTATGCCACTCAGTTGTTCCAGTGTTTTCTTCTATTTGATATCGTGAAGGAGTAAGACATTAACCAACAGGGAGGCCATGTATACAACAGACTGTGATGTTTAAACTGAGAGTGGGAGTGAGGGAAGCCTGTGTATGTGGTGAAGGAAGAGATTAACCCGGGGCAAGACAGGAAGCTGTCCCTACCAGGCAGTAACTGTAGGTAGTTCTAGGGAACTAGTACACACCTCACTGGGGGCTCCATTTGGTGTTTATCAATAGTAGTGTTTGGGGAAACATCATTTAACGCACAGTAGGAAATATGTCTGCCATTCAAACAGTTTCCTTGTTTGGGAAGTTGAGAGGTGTTATTTCAGAGCTGATATTACAAACAGCGTGAACAACAAATGCCTTTTTGATCAAGAAATATTGAAACAGTCATGTAAATTACAAGGTTGTTTAAAAAGGTCTCTGGAATATTCTTTCATTATCCATTTATTGTTATAGAAACACGTCTGGAATGTAACTAGGTTAATCGTATTCTATATTTCAATGACTTTGTTAATTTCATATTTCCATTTGTCCCATTTCCTATCGTCAGCGATTCTTGTGATAGATGTGACTCCATGCATTAAGTTTGTTTGTCAATCAGTGGGGCAGCCTAGTGGTGTAAGCGTTTGCTCTTCACTCTGGGAACCCAAGTTTAATTCCCTACATTGTTACCATGTGTGAAGCCTATTTCTGGTGTCCCCTGACTTGATATTGCTGGAATATTGCTAAAACAATACTCACTCACTCTCTCACTTACTCTTTCAATCCAAAATGTATCTTATCAAGGCTGCTTTTCAGCCATTTTGAGCATTTCTCCTGCAATAAGTGCTAGTCCTGTGTCATGACTGGGAAATGAAATAATAATAATAATAATAATGTAGGGTACTTAATATTGTTGTGCTAGCCTCCTCCATACACTGATATATATATTTTTTTTGCTAAAAGCCTAGGCAAGTCTAGATCAAACTAAACCAAGTCTAGTTTCCTTGAACAGCAGAAGAGGAAATGACTTTTGAAAAAAAAAAAAAAAAATTATTTTAAAGAAATGTTTTCATAGTCTAAGTGTTAGTGATACATCCATCCGTCCAGTCACCCACTCATCCATACAGCCTGTACCAATCTTGCCCCTGTCTCTGCAGCAATATCCAGTGTCGGCATCGGCTTCTCACTGTGTCAGTGCACCTCCCTGTATCACCATCTATCACATGACTACCCTTCTCTCTCATCTGTCCACAGGTGTTCCACTTTCGCATCACGATGCAGAACCGGACGCAGAACATGCTTCCGCCAGAGGCCATCACACAGATGTTCTCAAACATCGAAAGCATCTTCCAGTTCCATCACGACTTTCTTCTTCCACAGTTGGAGGACCGCATGAGCAAGTGGTAGGTGCCGCTGCCTGGCTCCACACATCTCACACCAGACATGTGCAGCACACAAGCTGCCTGGCTCCACACATCTCACACCAGACATGTACCTTTTGATTTCCACCCGTGAAGATCCGGGTTAGAATAGGTCTTCAGCAACCCATGCTTGCCATAAAAGGCGACAATGCTTGCATAAGAGGTGACTAACGGGATCGGGTGGTCAGGTTCCCTGACTTGGTTGATTGATGTCATCGTATCCAAATTGTGTTGATCGATGCTCATGACATAAATCAATGGATTGTCTGGCCCAGACTTTATTTATTTACAGATCGCCGTCACATAGCTGGAATATTGCTAACTGCGGTGTTAAACAACAAACAAACAACCACCTCTGCAAAATAAGAACATGGTTATGCTCTGTCACCATCAGTAATACAGCAATGTCACAGTAGCCTCTATGTGATCTGTAGCAGACAAACCAGTGGTTGATAACATGAGCATCTGAGCTGTCAGGGTACAATTAGCCAGACATTAGTGACATTATGTTACAGCTTGTAATTCACAAGTGGGACAAATCTCTGAACTTCTGAAACATCAGAAGACGTAGATCCACATTTTCAACATAATCACAATATTACATGGTAAATATCAGAACAAAATTGCTTCATTGCTGTTTATTTTTTCTTTGACTATATTATCAATCATCATGATACTGAATCAGAGTCCCTTGTTGGTGAGAGGCCAGCTGCTACCCAATGTACAGGCTCCTCTACTGTGATGGTCTCGACCCACATATGTAGCCAGACTACTTGGTGTAGCATTCATTTAGACAATACTGACACTCACTTTTCAAATATTAATCCAGGGATGCAAATATTGATTATTACAGGTGGCCATCGTCAGACTGATATGAAATTCTGTGTGTGTTTCTCAGACAAATGAAAGGTTTGCTGTTGCAATAGCACCAGTAAGTTGTATGACGAGACACACAATGAGAGATGGATGTGTCATTCTTCCCCACAAAATTGTATAATGGAATTTTATCTTTAATTTCTATATTTCACAACTGCAAATACTCAGTATAGTTTTGTAGATCCCTCAGTTCTTGTATGTCATACGAACAATTGCCACTCCATGCAATTGTCTAGGCTTAATGATAACCTCTTGAAACAATCAACTTGTTTTAAGAAATTTGAAAATGTGTAATTGACTACAAAAATAGCACCTTGTAACAAGCATGTTTTTATATTGTGCCGATCGATCTTTAAAACTAGTTACATTGTAGATCATCAGCTACATAAGCTTGTTGACGTTTCTGGTGGATGCTAGACATGACTTGAATATTTTTCATATGTCTGAAATTCCTTACAGTTTTGAAACTCTGCATTCATTTAAATGAAGCTTGAATACCACTTTCTGCTTCATGTAGTATGGTGCAAGTACAAACAAAGCTTTGTGCTTCCTTTCATCTTCATTCAATGTTTCTCATCACTGAAGATGTGTCCAGTAGCACCATGTGATTGTCTATAGTAATGAGACTTCAGTGACAAATGCAGACTCTGTTGAGATGGTCACAAGAGCCCTTAAGGAGTGCTGCTGTCTTTAACACATGGGTCAAGTGATCTGTGAGGGCACTGGTGATTGTAGGGACTGTTTAGGGCTGACATAGGGAGGGCTAGTCTGTCTCCAAGACCTTAGAGAATAAATTAAAAAGTCCAACTCAAGGCTCAAGAATGATTGGGTAAGTCTAGATTGCCTCAGCTCTATGTTCCTGAAATTAAGCCTTGTTCTGGGCTCCATTTGGATTGTATTTTTTATAAATTGTAGGTACTCAATTTAAATGACACAGACGACTGTCAGTGGAGGGCTAGGGGCAGGTCAGACGACTGTCAGTGGAGGGGTAGGGGCTGGTCAGACGACTGTCAGTAGAGGGGTAGGGGCTGGTCAGACGACTGTCAGTGGAGGGGTAGGGGCAGGTCAGACGACTGTCAGTGGAGGTCTAGGGGCTGGTCAGACGACTGTCAGTAGAGGGGTAGGGGCTGGTCAGACGACTGTCAGTGGAGGGCTAGGGGCAGGTCAGACGACTGTCAGTGGAGGGCTAGGGGAAGGTCGGACGACTGTCAGTGGAGGGCTAGGGGCAGGTCAGACGACTGTCAGTGGAGGTCTAGGGGCAGGTCGGACGACTGTCAGTGGAGGGCTAGGGGCAGGTCAGACGACTGTCAGTGGAGGGCTAGGGGCAGGTCAGACGACTGTCAGTAGAGGGCTAGGGGCTGGTCAGACGACTGTCAGTGGAGGGCTAGGGGCAGGTCAGACGACTGTCAGTAGAGGGCTAGGGGCTGGTCAGACGACTGTCAGTAGAGGGCTAGGGGCTGGTCAGACGACTGTCAGTGGAGGGCTAGGGGCTGGTCAGACGACTGTCAGTGGAGGGCTAGGGGCTGGTCAGACGACTGTCAGTAGAGGGGTAGGGGCAGGTCAGACGACTGTCAGTAGAGGGCTAGGGGCTGGTCAGACGACTGTCAGTGGAGGGGTAGGGGCTGGTCAGACGACTGTCAGTGGAGGGCTAGGGGCAGGTCAGACGACTGTCAGTAGAGGGGTAGGGGCAGGTCAGACGACTGTCAGTGGAGGGCTAGGGGCTGGTCAGACGACTGTCAGTGGAGGGCTAGGGGCTGGTCAGACGACTGTCAGTAGAGGGCTAGGGGCAGGTCAGACGACTGTCAGTAGAGGGCTAGGGGCAGGTCAGACGACTGTCAGTGGAGGGCTAGGGGCTGGTCAGATGACTGTCAGTGGAGGGCTAGGGGCTGGTCAGACGACTGTCAGTGGAGGGCTAGGGGCAGGTCAGACGACTGTCAGTGGAGGGCTAGGGGCAGGTCAGACGACTGTCAGTGGAGGGCTAGGGGCTGGTCAGACGACTGTCAGTGGAGGTCTAGGGGCTGGTCAGACGACTGTCAGTAGAGGGCTAGGGGCAGGTCTGACGACTGTCAGTGGAGGGCTAGGGGCTGGTCAGACGACTGTCAGTAGAGGGCTAGGGGCTGGTCAGACGACTGTCAGTGGAGGGCTAGGGGCTGGTCAGACGACTGTCAGTGGAGGGCTAGGGGCTGGTCAGACGACTGTCAGTAGAGGGCTAGGGGCAGGTCAGACGACTGTCAGTAGAGGGCTAGGGGCTGGTCAGACGACTGTCAGTAGAGGGGTAGGGGCTGGTCAGACGACTGTCAGTGGAGGGGTAGGGGCAGGTCAGACGACTGTCAGTAGAGGGGTAGGGGCTGGTCAGACGACTGTCAGTAGAGGGGTAGGGGCAGGTCAGACGACTGTCAGTAGAGGGGTAGGGGCTGGTCAGACGACTGTCAGTGGAGGGCTAGGGGCTGGTCAGACGACTGTCAGTGGAGGGCTAGGGGCTGGTCAGACGACTGTCAGTAGAGGGGTAGGGGCAGGTCAGACGACTGTCAGTAGAGGGGTAGGGGCAGGTCAGACGACTGTCAGTAGAGGGGTAGAGGCTGGTCAGACGACTGTCAGTAGAGGGGTAGGGGCTGGTCAGACGACTGTCAGTGGAGGTCTAGGGGCTGGTCAGACGACTGTCAGTGGAGGGCTAGGGGCAGGTCAGACGACTGTCAGTGGAGGGCTAGGGGCAGGTCAGACGACTGTCAGTGGAGGGCTAGGGGCAGGTCAGACGAGAATGTTTGATGGGTTTCACACTGATGGGGTCTGTATATACTGTCTGCCAGTTATGTTACAGAGTATGGTGAGAAGTGAGGATTAACTACTGATGACATGATGGCTGTGATGATGATGATGATGATGATGATGATGATGATGATGAATAATCTATGTTGACTCCCAGGGACCAGAGTCCGAAGATTGGGGACCTGATGAAGAAGAATGCGCCGTTCCTGAAGCTGTACACAGACTACGTGAAGAACTTCGACAACGCCATGAATCTTATCAACACTTGGCAGGAGAAATCAGTCAAGTTTGCCACCCTCATTCAGGAAATACAGGTAATGATGGAGATGTGTTTGTACAGGTGGTTTAGTGATCGATGGTCAGACAAGCAACAGAACTCAGGTGAACCTCATTTAACTACTTCACGTTCTATTTTTAGATCCTCTTATTTCTTTAAATAAATATAAGATTAACCCTTCTTGTGGTAAAGTTACTTCATTAAGCAATATTCACTTACTCCCTCACTACAATGATCCCACATTAAGCTGACACACCACAACATACATTATGTACTATCCAATGAGATGTCCACTCCAACCATCCCTCTGATCCCTCTCACGGCAGCTGAGTTCTTTGCTTGTTTGTTTGTTGTTTAATGCCGCACTCAGCTGTATTCAAGCTACATGACTGCAATTAATAATTGATTCTGGACCAGACAATCCAGTGATTGACATCATGAGCATTGATCTACGCAATTGGGATACGGTGACATGCATCAACCACGTCAGCGAGCCTGACTACACAATCCCCTTAGTCGCCTCTTATGGCAAGCATGGGTTGCTGAAGACCAATTCTCTACCCAGATCTTCCCACTGAGTGGTGGCCAGGTAACGTGGTGCTTCAATTCTGAGTTTCATTGGTTCAGTTGGTTCGTCCCATTCTCCACTTGGGTACAAAGCCAATTTCTGGTTTTCCCTGTCATGATATTGCTGAAACATTACTAAAAGCAGTGTTATAGCATCCTTACTCACTCACTAGAGTTGTTTCCCTTAGTTGCTGGTGAGGGTTGGTTGGGGTCGAAGCCCAGATCATCCTCATGATGTTGGTCTCAAGCAGTGATCATCCGTGCATGGGTTGACATGTGCTCCTCTGACATCAAGAACAGTTGACTGAAATACAATGTATTTATGAAAGCAGCTGTAAAGCCCACATGCCTCTCCTCTAGACTATGTATTGCTTCAGCGTACCAGCCTCATATTCTATACAGAGTTACTCCCCCTGAACATAGCCACCACACAGGTGATAGTGTGCCGAGTGTTATTTTGTGTAATGGTGATTTCAGCGAATGCCTGAGTGTGGGTCCCTGTCCTTACAACACCACATGCTGGAACCTATACAGAGAGTTCCACGGTACGAGATGCTGCTCAAAGGTAGGCCTTGATGATGATGATGATGATGATGATGATGATGATGATGATATTTTTTAGCAAAGTTGTATCACTTGAATTTCAATAAAGAAAAGAAACATAATAAATATTACTTACTGATAGTTTTGCAGTTGTTTTAATTAAACATGAAAATGACATTGTCTGGTACGTAAATTCTCTTTAGCGATTAAAACACTTAATGAAGCTATGACAATGTTGTACCTTGTACCCTGATGTGAACCACTGCATTTACAGACTACATCAAGAAGTTGCCATCGGAGTCCCCCGACCACCATGATGCTCAAGGTGAGATGCCGTCATGTCTTGGTGTACGACTTCTTGTATTAAATAAAGTTAAAATTGAAGATGTAAAGAATGGTCACATGGCAAAATAATAATATGTAGATGTGAATACACAGTGCCTTTTAGAAAGTGGTCAAATGTAACAAATGTTATGTTTGGGATAACACTTTCTGAGTAAAGTACAAATTCAGGTACTATTTTTGGTTGAGCCCCATCCGAGAGTCGAACACACACTCTCAGAGTGAGGCACCTATAGGTCAGGATTGTCCCCATACACACTGGAGACGGTCTCCATGGTCTAGTGGTAGAGCGGAAATTTGGAGGTTCAATCCCCAGCTATGTCATACCAAGAGACGTGAATAGATGGTACATGTTGATACCCTGCCTGGCGCTAAGCATGGGGGGCTAATACAAGGACTGGTCAGCTCGGGAGTCAGTATACTGTGTCTGAGTGAGGTATTCATGTTAAACTGCGGCATGGTATCTCAGTAGGTTAACACTATAAAATCAGCATTAGTCCAGACTAGTACAAGCAGCCATACACACAATCACACACGTGCATGCATGTCGCAATAATCCCGAATGTGATGTTAAATCCAATTTCACCTCACCTTATCTTTGTAGAAAGGGAACCTCTGCACTGCCTCGAAGGCATGTGATGTGATGAAAGAGTTTACTTAACAAATAGAGCAGAGATACACACATGTCACTATATATGACCTCACCTCACCTAATACACATTGAATATCTGGGGTGGTCTCTGTTGTTGCCTGACAGTACTGATAACTATATTTGTGTTGTATTTCTTTCTCCAGCTGCCCTCAATCTTGTTACAACTGCTGCCAAACATTCCAATGAAGCCATGAAGAAAATTGTAAGTTGATGATCAACTCCTTAATTTTCAATGTAGCTGTCATTGTATCAGCAGTATGTGATTTCAAATCAGTCTGTTTCATCCAACACTGTCTCATGTGATGTGTATTTAGGAAGCAGTAAGCATAACAGTCTCTCATAACAGACAGTGCTGTGTGTAGTAACAGTTGAAGTCCTAACAACATGGCATCCATCTGGTTGTAGGAGAAGTTCCGAAAGTTGCTGGAGATCCACCAGTCACTCCGTGGAATCAACGTGGACTTCATTAGTCCGACACGCGAGTTGATCAGAGAGGGATCTGTCACCAAGATCTCAGCTCGAAGTGGAGAGAAACAATTGAGATATATATTTTTGGTAATTTACACTTTTATATGAATTATTGTGACTGTTGATTTATGATACCACACGTTTTATTTTCACACATTAAAATGATTTTATGCCCTAAAGTCACAATCAAGTAATAATTAGATTTACATCGCTACCCGCCTTACTAATTGTACATATGTGTCAGGAATGGATCATATAGATTTTGATTTGACCTGAGTAAGTGTCAGTGCTGAGAGTACAGTGTCTCACGTACATGTCCTCTGTTTCAGTTCAATGACATGATGTTGATATGCAGTGAGCCACTACTGGGTACATTCCGTGTCCGTGCACAGCTCGATGTGGACGGGATGCAGGTTAGTTACACATGTCTGTTCCTGTAACAGCATGGCATTATTTAGTATGTATAGGGTTGCAGAATTCTCTGTTCCGCCAATGTCAAATTTCCGGATATTTGTTTTACTCAAATAAGTTGAAGTCAATGCGGTTATTATTAGTTCCTTTACAAAGTTATTTTTGGGGTCCAAATGATGATTTTACATGTTATGACATCATGGGTTAAGAACTTTGCCTCGTCTCATGGTTGATGTAAATTTGCCTGTAACATGTACGAAGATCATCTTGTGAGTGACTGTATACCTGGTTCATGCTCTGTCAACAGGCCTCCCAGCAGTAATGTGTTGAGTCTGTGACTCTGCCGTGCTGTACCTTTAAAAAATACATAGGACACAAAATGAGCACTTTCATTTGGGTTTTAAAAGATTCAATTAAGAAGCTGCCTACTGCGGGGCATTGCGCTATTACCATTACAGGTGTGATAATTGTGTGGACAGTCTGCATGGATACAGGTGACATAAAGGTTTGATGATTGTGTTGACAGGTGAAGGATGGAGATAATCTCAGCATCGCCCACACCTTCTGTGTGATGAGCAGACAGAAGACTATCGAGTTGCTGGACCATGAGTGAGTAGGAACAGTTGTATGTCATCTGTAGGCAACATGCCACATCTCCTTTATGTCATCTGTAGGGAACATACCATATCATCTCTCTGTCATCTGTAGGCGACATACCCTATCTTCTCTCTGTCATCTGTAGGGAACATACCCTATCTTCTCTCTGACATCTGAAGGGAACATACCGTATCATCTCTCTGTCACCTGTAGGGAACATACCGTATCATCTCTCTGTCATCTGTAGGGAACATACCATATCTTCTGTCATCTGTAGGCAACATACCGTATCATCTCTCTGTCACCTGTAGGGAACATACCGTATCATCTCTCTGTCATCTGTAGGCAACATACCGTATCATCTCTCTGTCATCTGTAGGCAACATACCGTATCATCTCTCTGTCATCTGTAGGGAACATACCATATCTTCTGTCATTTGTAGGGAACATACCGTATCATCTCTCTGCCATCTGTAGGCAACATACCGTATCATCTCTCTGTCATCTGTAGGCAACATACCGTATCATCTCTCTGTCATCTGTAGGCAACATACCGTATCATCTCTCTGTCATCTGTAGGCAACATACCGTATCATCTCTCTGTCATCTGTAGGCAACATACCGTATCATCTCTCTGCCATCTGTAGGCAACATACTGTATCATCTCTCTGTCATCTGTAGGGAACATACCATATCTTCTGTCATTTGTAGGCAACATACCGTATCATCTCTCTGTCATCTGTAGGCAACATACCGTATCATCTCTCTGTCATCTGTAGGCAACATACCGTATCTTCTGTCATTTGTAGGGAACATACCGTATCATCTCTCTGCCATCTGTAGGCAACATACCGTATCATCTCTCTGTCATCTGTAGGCAACATACCGTATCATCTCTCTGCCATCTGTAGGCAACATACCGTATCATCTCTCTGTCATCTGTAGGCAACATACCGTATCATCTCTCTGTCATTTGTAGGGAACATACCGTATCATCTCTCTGCCATCTGTAGGCAGCATACCGTATCATCTCTCTGTCATCTGTAGGGAACATACCGTATCTTCTCTCTGTCATCTCTAGGCAACATACCGTATCATCTCTCTGTCACCTGTAGGCAACATACCGTATCATCTCTCTGTCACCTGTAGGCAACATATCCTATCTTCTGTCATCTGTAGACAACATACCCTATCTTCTCTCTGTCATCTGTAGGCAACATACCCTATCTTCTCTCTGTCACCTGTAGGCAACATACCGTATCATCTCTCTGTCATGTGTAGGCAACATACCATATCTTCTCTCTGTCATGTGTATGCAACATACCGTATCATCTCTCTGTCATGTGTAGGCAACATACCCTATCATCTCTCTGTCACCTGTAGGCAACAAACCGTATCATCTCTCAGTCACCTGTAGGCAACATATCCTATCTTCTGTCATCTGTAGGCAACATACCCTATCTTCTCTCTGTCATCTGTAGGCAACATACCCTATCTTCTCTCTGTCACCTGTAGGCAACATACCCTATCTTCTCTCTGTCATCTGTAGGCAACATACCCTATCTTCTCTCTGTCACCTGTAGGCAACATACCGTATCATCTCTCTGTCATGTGTAGGCAACATACCATATCTTCTCTCTGTCACCTGTAGGCAACATACCATATCTTCTCTCTGTCATCTGTAGGGAACATACTGTATCTTCTCTCTGTCATCTGTAGGCAACATACTGTATCATCTCTCTGTCATCTGTAGGCAACATACCGTATCATCTCTCTGTCATCTGTAGGGAACAAAGAATGGACATATATTACCTATCAATATGTATTGTTTCAGAACTGTTGGAGATGGGGCCACCTGGTACGATGTGAGTTTCCCTTTATTGACTTTTGTTTTGTCTCATTCCCTTCATTGACTCCTGTCTCAAAAGGACAGTAGATATGTTTTGCTTTAAATAATATATAATAATAACAACAACAACAACAACAACAACAACAATAATACCTCTGTCATTAGAGTAAAATGATCCATATCAACACTGTGTAATCTTCAGGCCCTCTTTTGTAAATTAACCAAATTTATGCCATTACATAGGCTTTGTAGAACTCTAGAAATGTTCAGATGTGAATAGTTGAATTTTGTTGGTAACACATTTTTGGTGCTTCATCGGTGCTGTTTTTCATACAATGTGTTATGTTGCAGACAATTGAGAAAGTTGTTGATGATTTTTGCCATAAGAAGAAGTTACGAGTCAGCAAGCCCGATGACACCCTGGAATCATTTCAGGAAACCATGGTAATGTTTGTTTAATAGTTGTAAATTCAAATCAGATGTTATCATAATGATTGAATAACAGATTTATATCTTATCTAAATGGGGCTGTTAAGGAACTAACAGATTTATTATGTCAGACGGATTACTTTCTATATTGGCAGGTGGTTAATGAATCTATCAGTCTCCTGTACATATCACCTGGGTTGGCTACCTAAGGGACTGATCATTTAATATTCTGAGGGTGGGGGGTCTGGGTTGGCTACAAGGGGACCGATCATTTGATATTCTGAGGGTGGGGGGTCTGGGTTGGCTACAAGGGGACCGATCATTTGATATTCTGTGGGTGGGGGGTCTGGGTTGGCTACAAGGGGACCGATCATTTGATATTCTGGGGGTGGGGGGACTGGGATTTTGTATCCAGATAAGATATTTTTCAGGTAAAGCTACAAAACCAGATATTTTTTTTCATTTAAAACAATGAGCCTGAAATTCTTTTAAGAAAAACACCTTGCAACAACAAATAATTAATTTTTTCAGGGACAGTTTATTTTTTTCAATAAAATCCAACGACCAGAATATAAAGTGGTTGGTCCCTAGCTTATGAGTGATATCCTATTTCTGTAATGTATTGCTGCAATTTTGATATAAGCAGATTATAACGGTATTCCCACACACTATAATTGGTGATAATCTGTGATAGGGTGTTTCTTCTCTGCCTTTACTCTTGCATGTTGAATCTATGACCAGCTTCCAGACAGTATCCTGGGGCGCCGAGCACCACGCTGGATCCCAGACGATGCTGCCACCATGTGCATGAGATGCCAAGCAGGGTTTTCGGCCTTCCGGCGGAGACATCATTGTCGAGCCTGCGGATGGGTAAGTCTGGAATGTTTAGATTCAGTGATGTGTCTACCAGAACGTTTTTTCTGAAGTAATGTGAAATATCATGATTGAAAATATTATCTGTTCACATATTTGTACCGTTTCATTCTTTATAAAAATCTGTACAAGGAAGAGGAAAACATTTGTAATATTGATTTCTGTATTCATATGAATATACCTCTTCCTTGAGATTGTGTGTAGGGCCCCAGTGCCTTAAGTTTGGTATAGGAGCTGATCAGAGAAGGCTCAGTCGGAGTCAGGGACAGATTGCATATCTGATTGATGGTGTGGCCTGATTGATGGTTTGGTGATATTCAAGCTATATGACGGCAGTCTGTAAATAATCAAGTCTGGACCAGTCAATCCAGTGATTGATATCATGAGCATCGATTCACGCAATTGGGATCGATGACATGCATCAACCAAGTCAGAGAGCCTGACCACCCGATTACGTTAGTCGCCTTTTACGGCAAGCATGGGTTGCTGAAGACCTATTCTACCTATTCTATTCACGGGTCCAAACTTTAATGTCATACTGATCATAATAATGTTGTTTCCTGTTTTGTAGGTTGTATGTGGCAAGTGCTGCAGGAAGGCACCCCTCGCATACATGCAAAACAAAATAGAGCGAGTGTGCGACAAGTGCTATGATGTGATCGTTCACCCAAAGCCTGGCAATGCATCGTCACCCGACAGCGAAAGGGGTTCGCCGCGGAGAAGGGGTGTTCTACAGGTTAGCATTCTTCAAGACAATGTCACGTGATTTGTTGTGGTGTCACTTCATCCATCAAGTAGCGAGCTGATAAACACAAGGAGGACCCACTCATGTTCAAGTGCAAACAATATCACTTGTCACACATGTATCAGAACCTAGATAATATATAATATGGCACCAGAGATCTTAAGATAAAAAAACCAAAGGAATGGTTAGGATTTATCAAGATACTGATGTTATGTGTGGATTGTACTAATCCAAGGGTAGTTCATCTATCTCATGTTGATATGTAAATGTCTCAGGTACAAGCCCAGTTTCTTCTCCATCACATGTTTTCCTTGTATTGATGACTGAAGTTTATAATCTTGTATTGATGAAGTTTATGAGTGCGATACTTGCATCGACTGGGAGCCCCATTCTTACAGTGCTTAATTCTACCTGAGATATTTTGGAGCCTATCTCTCAGTATCAACGTGCATGATCTCTAACACAAAGTTCATCCTCTGCTGCTACAGTTAACAACCCTGCCACTCTCTATATGTCGTCAGCTGTATCACGACCCCTAGTCCTCGATACACGTGAGGGGGTTATTTCATGTGGGTGATTGAGGGGGTGGGTGAGCTGGTGGGCAAGAGGAGTTAGCTACAGCTTGTAGCAGGGTTGACACAAAACACCTCAGTAGACATCTTTATAATAATTCTATGATGTTTGAGGCAAATGAATACAAGCCTCCCGTGTATTATCATCACATGTCTTCAGATGTTGCAGATCCTGCATCATCCCGAGGCAAGAGCCTTAACTGACTATAAAAGTCCAGTTTCCACCCTTGCCGAGCTAGGATGTAATTTCATCGTTCGATCATAGTGCCATCAGCTGCTAGTATGAGTTATGTCCCATCTATGCCCCTCCTACTGACCAATCAGATTCCACCTATCATATCAATATCTTTAAAAAAGATGGCGACTCACTGTCAAGATGATCTGATCAATAATCAAGATCTATATTGCAATAAAACGGGTCTTACCTCACGAAGTGCATCAAATCGCTTGAGCACCATGATTAGATCATGAAAATCTGTGGAAAATGTCTGTTAATGCCCAGTTGACGGTTCTCATGCTCTGTAAATCCTGCAGTCGACCGAAATCTGCACGTTGAAATCCATGTTGTTTACAAACTGGATGTCTAGTTCATTACACAATATTCATTGGACTCTGCATAGACCTGTTTGTCCAGCCAAAATACAACTCCGGACTTCGGAAATGGTTCGGAAATGATAGTAAATTGGACTTTTATGGTCAATTAATTCCCTTGACTCGGGAAGAAGCGCTTTCTGTGAGTATTGATGGAAGTGAAGTAACTTGCTTGCTTTATGCAAGGCTAAACAATTAAACTGTGTGTGAAGATTAAAGAAATATAAATGTGTAATTCTTTCTGCCTGCACATGAAACTAAACTAAATCATCAATTTCATACACATTCATACAGTGTCATTCACTGTGATACATCCATTGAAATACAGAGATGATTGTCGTACACTTATTTTCACTGGCATACATTGTCACACATTGTCACACATTGCCGTGCATGTAGGCATTGTGAGTAGTGGTTCATACTTCTTAGTGTTGTCCTGGAATGTATGTCAAATGCTGTATTTCCTCTAATAACCACACAGCCTCTTGTTGAACCTAGAAGCAACACTCATATGAGATCTACACTATAAGTCTTATCTTTAAATGACACTTTTTTTCTGCATTCATTTTGAGTAGAAATGAGCTTTGGGATAAAAATATTGTGCATAAATTCAAATTTCAATAAATCTGTTCGTCAATAAAATAATAATAATAGTGTGAAGCTCTTTATTAGATTTATACTTTATAACAGACAAAGCTGTTAGGTTGAGATAATTAAGTGTGAGGAGTGTTTATTGAGGAACTACGGTATACAGAGACATTGGTACTGCAGCAGCTCATCATCGTCTTGCTGCAAAGATCAAGCATCTGTTTCTTGTTGTTTTTTTCTTCTTTTTCGTTACCTTTGTTTTACAATATTCATTTAACGGATGATTCTACAATAAAACTTGTTTCATTGTTTTTCTCTGCTTTGTGTTGGTTTCCTGCATGTAACAAATTTATTGCTCACAATAAAGCGGTCTCAAATATCATGGGCCACAAGAAGCTGATCTTTGCTCATCGCATGTCCCCTACTATTTTGTTAATGTATTTTTAGTTTTGTGATGATCAAGAGAAAGTTACTGTTGTAGGCTACCCAGAACGTAATTTCCTACCTTGCCTAAATATTGCTTGCCTAATTAATGTGAAGGTCCAAATATACCCTTAGCCAAGGCAAGGTTAGAGGAAATCTATAATTGATATAAATAATTTGTAATTTTAATATTCCATCTGTTATTAACACCTGCCAAGAAGAAATATCCAAACCTTTTGATCGTAAAAATAAGTTTAGGTAGTTCCACGAGGTATTCATGTGGACGTCTGTTGAACAAGGCCATTCCTGTACACATGTCACATGACAACTATATTTCTCCCTGGGATTTGGATTATTATCAGATGTAAATTGAGCTAAGTGGGTTTTATGTTAAATATTTCAGTCATGTTCTGCATACAGTCACTTCCTCCAAGATATCATGTAGCCAGGGAAACACTGTGTAGTCACACTGTGTATAAACGTGATCCAGCAGTGCTCCAGGTCGTCTGTCTCCCAGGCCCTTGAGAAAAAAGTTAAAAAAGGAGTCCAGCTCAAGTCTAGAATAATTTAGCAAGTCTAGATTAAGAAATTAACGATTGTTCTGGGCTTCATTTGGATTTGTCATCTTTTTATTTTGTAGATATATATTTTTGAATAAGATAACTTTATTTCTAGGACTAAATGTCAGTAAGCTCTAGGCCACAACAGTCATTATTTGTTCTACAGGTAGTTACTAATCTTTTATAGGTTCAAACGTTTTAAGTTTTTGAAGAATGAAAAGATTGTTTCCCAAAGCAGACTGCCAGCTGAAGAAACATAATTTTGAGGGTTTTTTTCTGATTTTTTTTTGACAGGGAGGTATATTATTCTAGACTTTACAAACTATTTTAGGTGATGACACACAAAATGTCTCGTGGTCGTGTGTTGATGTGAGGGAAGTACTGTTTCTAATGTTACAGAAGTGGAGAAAGCACATGAATGTATACTGTCAGAGTTTTTATTCACAGGAATATGTGGATTAGATACAGCCACTATGAGTGTTTTGTTACATACATGTCGAGGGTGGACAGCCTGCTAGAAACTATTTCCCCAGTAGTGGGAGCTCTAGTTCCTACGCCTACATGGAACACTTTCCAGTACTGTTTACACAGCACCTAGATCCTACACTTAGCCCCACCCCTATCATTGTCACCCCCACTGTACTTAGCCCCACCATGTCCTGCCATGCCCCCCCCCCCCCACACACACACACATTACCTGCCCCACCCCTATCATTGTCACCCCCACTGTACTTAGCCCCACCATGTCCTGCCATGCCCCCCCCCCCCCCACACACACACACACACATTACCTGCCCCACCCCTATCATTGTCACCCCCACTGTATCTAGCCCCACCGTGTCCTGCCATGCCCCCCCCCCCACATTACCTGCCCCACCCCTATCATTGTCACCCCCACTGTATTGTATCTAGCCCCACCCCTAGCCATGTCCCCTCCCACATTACCTAGCTCACCCCTATCACTGTCACCCCCACTGTACTTAGCCCCACCCCTTGCCATGTCCCCTCCCACATTACCAAGCTCACCCCTATCATTGTCACACCCACTGTACTTAGCCCCACCCCTTGCCATGTCCCCTCCCACATTACCTAGCCCAACCCCTATCACTGTCACACCCACTGTACTTAGCCCCACCCCTTGCCATGTCCCCTCCCACATTACCTAGCCCAACCCCTATCACTGTCACCCCCACTGTTCTTAGCCCCACCCCTTGACATGTCCCCTCCCACATTACCTAGCCCAACTTTATCACTGTCACCCCCACTGTACTTAGCCCCACCCCTTGCCATGTCCCCTCCCACATTACCTAGCACAACCCCTATCACTGTCACCCCCACTGTACTTAGCCCCACCCCTAGCCATGTCCCCTCCCACACTACCTAGCCCAACCCCTATCACCCCCACTGTACTTAGCCCCACCCCTTGACATGTCCCCTCCCACATTACCTAGCCCCACCCCTAGCCCTATACCCCTGACTGTACTTATAAACCTCTGATGACATCACATTACAGTAACGGAAGGTTGATAAATTTCCAAAGCAGGCAATATCAACAATGCCTGGGGTGATCCGATGGAACCTTTTTCCCCATACTTAAACCTCTCACTCTGTGCCCCCTGTAAACCCTCTCATACCTGTGTCATCCCCTTCCTTTATCTCTTTACCCTATTGCAAGCCTATATTTACCAGCCGCACACTCACTCCATCCTTGTCTTCCAAAATGCAATAAATGTCAATCCCATGTAAATCTTGTTTTACCAAACTAGCTTCTGAGTAACAACAGTCTACAGCTATATTGCTTAGTAACACCATCTTACAACATAATGAATCAATACAAAACACTAGGACTGTTATAGATCAGTATGTGCCACAATGATCCGGCTCTTGCCGCTACGCCCTGGTCTTCCCTGCCCTGTGCTACAATGATCCGGCTCTTGCCGCGACGCCCTGGTCTTCCCTGCCCTGTGCCACAATGATCCAGCTCTTGTCGCTACGCCCTGGTCTTCCCTGCCCTGTGCCACAATGATCCAGCTCTTGTCGCTACGCCCTGGTCTTCCCTGCCCTGTGCCACAATGATCCAGCTCTTGTCGCTACGCCCTGGTCTTCCCTGCCCTGTGCCACAATGATCCAGCTCTTGTCGCTACGCCCTGGTCTTCCCTGCCCTGTGCCACAATGATCCAGCTCTTGTCGCTACGCCCTGGTCTTCCCTGCTCTGTGCCACAATGATCCAGCTCTTGTCGCTACGCCCTGGTCTTCCCTGCCCTGTGCCACAATGATCCAGCCTGGCCTGGCCTCGGCTGTTTGGCTAACTGTCCTTTTATACATGTCACACAGGAAACAGATCCTTAACAACAGGAAGTGATTAATTCTGGTTTCATAGTGAGACTCATTACCATCGCTAAGTCATCAGGAAAATAGTTTCTCTTATCTCTTAATCACATCTGTTATCATGTTTTTGCAGAGATTTGGAATTTGTACATGAATCACCATAATTGAATTTGATAAGGTCACATATGTTACAAATTTGTAGTATTTTGTTGATTCACTTATGGCTCCTATGTAGGATACTATGAAACTATACAATCAGCCTTTCCCTCACTCTCTCTACCCTGACTTAACAAAATGAACAGTCTCTCTAATGATATCAGCCGCTGGGATAATTTATACAAATTTGTTTTAGGATAGATATATGATCGAACATGGCAGCTCTTTCCTGTACACCTGGGGTTAAACATCCTGATTGATCTCTGCTGGTTTCTAGTTTCTGTCCAACCTTCACCTTTCTCTGGTGTTTTGCAGGTGAAGGCCAGCGACCCAGCCGTCTTGTCTGGCTACCTGTACATGAGTTCAGACAAGGGGAAGTCTTGGGTCAGGAGGTGGTTTGCCGTCCATGACGACTTCGTCATGTATGCATTCAGAGCACACCAGGTACACAATTATCACAATAGTTTGTTTCAAGTAATGAAGGCAATTTGCACATATTAAAGTAAGAGATATTTACAATAGTTTATTACTTCACTGAGAAGAACTTTAGATATTATTGACGTCGTACTGAAGCTGCGAAATGAATTTATTTCAACTCATATATTTGCTGTTTTGTTTTAATTTGTGAATATTGAAGTTGGAATTATTTCTGAGACCATCAATTATTGCCTTTTCCTGTCGCAAAAAGTATGATACTGTTACTATTCACTATTCACATAGTGTAACCATTTCTTGATTGCAGGATGTTTCGGCGCTGACATCTATGCCTCTCCCAGGGTACATTGCGGAACCTGTGTCGGCGGGAGACAACGTGGACAGGCCGAACACTTTCAAAGTTCATCATAAGCACAAGAAAATCTACTTCTTCCAAACTGACCATGAGAAACACTTGAGGAAGTGAGTGTAATGGTGCAACTTTCCCTGTAGCAGGTGCCGGGTGTGATGTACCCGTTTCATGTTCACAGCAAAGGACATATCATGTTGTGTTTATGGCTGGCTCTTAGATGGCATTTGTGGTTAGGACTATGTCGACATCACATGTTGTAGAGTCGAGTCACTGTAATGGCATAACCTCCCAGTACACTGTAGACACTATCTACAGGGAAGGAAAGCAATTCCCCTGTCCCAAACCACAAGAAGGTTCTGAATTGTTGTGGGTTTGCATCCTGGTTCGCCCCGATTATGTTTCTAGGTTTGTCAGCACCATACCCGTGCTTGTGGGTTTCACTAAAGTGGTAAACATGTGAGACCTGTATCACTTCCTCCCACATTAAGCTGACACAGCGTGATATAACTGGAATACTGTTAAAAGCGGCGTTAACCCCCAACTCACTCACTCACTCACTCACTTCTGAATTGTTGACAGTGCCATGTAAAAACACAAAGTGCATTTGTCGGATATATATTGCTCTTTATTTGCAAGGCATTAGATTTACATGGACATTTTGTAAGCATATTTCTGATTGTCCATAAAATAAGATTTTTAGCTGTCAAAATGTTAAATGGAAGCTGATTAGCTTTATTACAATCTGAATGTGCCTTCTTGTAAAATGTGATGTGATGTTGTGAGCTAATCTGGCAGTGGTGTGAGATCGTGTCTGCTGTCTGATGCTCGGGACAACTAATGACCCTAATCTGGTCCTTCTCTTCACAGGTGGATCAATGTCTTGGAGAAGATGGTGAGGCTGGAGCTCCCTGACGATTCACAACGTCTCTCTTCTCAGTCCAGCGTCAGTAACGTCAGCAACATCAGCAGCAACAGTGGAAGTGGTGATATGTCAGAGAGTAACGCCGCTGCGAGTGACATCAGTAGCACCCATAGCAACCCCAGTGATTGTAGTAAAACCAGTGATGAAAACGGAATCGGTGGCAAAGACAATGACAGCGGTATTGCCAACAGCAATGAAAACTGTAGCACGAGTAATACTGACAACTCTGAATACTTTAAGGACTCAACTAAGTCATGATACAGGGGACATCACTCACACCAAGGGGAAACAACTCACATCTGAGTCACAACAAAGGATGGGGGTGCAAGTGGGCCTCTTGGCCCAAGTTCACCCCAAATCCTAATACTACCACAACAAAGTAATGGGTGCACATACTACTACAAAGGGATGTAACTCTGAATGCAGTTGATAAAGGGGGATCACTCCTACATTTTTTTTGTGATGTTAGAATGGATATGTGTGGACATTGAGTTGTTTGAAAGGAGCTGACAGAGGAAATTACGATATTTTAAAAAGATCTTCCTGAATAACCAACCCAAGTCAGATTATCATTGGTGCAGTTATGGATTGTCAACAATATACCAGCCCTGGTGAAGACGTCACCTGGGGATACAAGTGCTACAAAGTGTGTTTTGCCATAATGTATTTCCATCACAGAGATTTATTGACTACAGTATTACCCAGAAGTCAAGTGTTCCACAATGTCACCAGCTTCTTTCAGTATTCTGTGTGAACAGCTGTGTCTGTGGATGAAGAGTGTTGAAAGGGAAGTAATTCTGAGCTGCCAAAAATGGCAACTTTCTGTTGCGTCTCTCCCTTTCTTAATACCAGATGTGAAACTGAAAGATTGATGACAAATATTCTTAATATAATCTAACTTAAAGTAATATATTCCTTATATGAAAATAGAAATGATGTATGTATTTACATTTTACCATTTAGTATGTATATATGATATTGAGAATTATCAGGAATTTTAGGCCATTTACAATATGATGCTGAGGTAATAAAATCAAAATCAAGTATGAATTATATAATATATATGAACAAAATATTTGAAATCTGGAATTTGTTAAGTCTCTTGCTCACCAGTTTTAAGTTTGTGAAAATATTTGCCTTAATGTCTGTAAATATTTAAACTGTTTTTTAATCTCACGATGTTAATATTTACAAACTATTATTTTAAATCACAATGCAATTGTAAATCTTTCATAAAGAAAGTTAGTTAGAACATAGTTATGCAGGTATAACTATTATTAAATAAGTTTTTTAAATATTTTTTTGGGTTGATGAAGGATAAGAAATTCTCCTTCTAGTTTTGGCAAAAACAGACTAATCCTGATACAACTATGTCTCTTCCAATATATTTCATGAAAAGATTCCAACTTTAGCAAATTACATTGCAGTTCTATTACGGATTCTATACAATTTGATTGATGTCCCTAATATATTTGTACATTTTAACAGTCAGATGTATATTTTGTTTTGAATATGTAAATTTGTTGTTATAGTAACCATGGTTACCTTCGATTGCAAGGATTAACATATACTGAGAATATTTCTCAAGTCAGCATATTTCATATTGTTGATCATCGTACATCCGGTTCATCGGGTAGCAGGGATACAGCTATGTAGCATCTCCAGCTCTCATGGAGCAATGAAAGGAAGTCATCCACGCAGCTTGTATTTCAGTAATCACATTTCGGAGCTGAACCATGTGTCTCCCAGTGTACCTGTCAAACTCGGACCAAGGTGTTGTTACAAATGTTGAGTTACAAATGTGGATGAGATAATGCCTGGCCGTGTACTGCAATGTTAATAAAGCAACATTTAAATAAGTTCTAATACAGTTATGCATCATTAGGTTCATTACATAATCATCAGCATCAACTACACGCTTCATTTTTGTCAGTCTATATATTAAGATACAGTTGTTTTCTCTCAGTATTTTAGATCGAATCTCGTTTTTCAGCTTTTAATGTAAATTTTCCTGTTTTAATTAATAACCATAGTGGTTCTATCATGAAGTGCTGCTGCTTCATTGTTGGATTTGTATATACACATTGATACAGTAGGGGGATTTAATATTAATGTCCTAATTATTAAGATGTTGGAGCTCATTTTCAACACTTTTGTGAAGAGTTTTTAATTTTAATACACTATTATAGATTTAAAAAACAATGCTTTGTACAATAATTTATGGTATGCTTTGAATGTACTAATTATTGTACTTAACTATGGTGCTTAATTCCGACACAGCAAGTAAAATCACTACTGCTTTGTATGTATGGAGAAAACAATTTGTAATTTGTATTTATTTTTATGACATTTACATTTTTGCAAAAAATAGTTTTAAATGTATTGAGTATTACTTCCCTATGCTTACATTTCCTGCTATTAGACAATCAGTCTAGCAACATGAGGGACGTCACGTAGACACCAGCATCATCCGCGTTGTAGCTACATCATTGTTGGTTTTATCCTGCGAAGTTGATGACCTGCGAAACATCTTACATCACTTTTGTAATAATTGTTACTGGGTTTGTATTTTTATTGTAAACTATTTTGTATAAAATTATCAGATCAAAATTGTAAATAGAGGTGAATGTACATCAGAACTTAACATTGGAAATTGTAAACCATTTCTTGATGTGTATGTTGTCAGAGAGAGCAAGACTAGGGAGTGTCCATTATCATGTTGTCACACGACTGTAGTAAAACCTTAGTGTTCCCAGGGGCCATGTTATACTGCCTGTGTCTGTAGACAAGTGTATATATGCCCATTCATTCCATGCAACATATAATCTAACCTAACTCTGTTCAATAAAGTAGAACCACTTTCTCATGGCCTTACCCTTAATTTGAGGTAGAAAAGTGAGCTAAGCCTTCTTTGTGGCATCTTCAGATCTGTCACATGTAATCTTCCTTAAGGCTCTGGTTCAATGTTTGATGTTGATGAATCTAATAATCTGGAGTCTTACTGAGATGTATTTTTAATCCTTTTGGTAACACTTTTTTAATTTTATGTTTCACAGACTTATTCCAGTTTTTCCACATAAGGTCGGTTGAAATAAGAAGAAATTTTTTTTTTTTTATTTATTTATTTATTTATTTAAGTCATTCTGCCATTAAAGAGTTAAAAGTGATGTAGACATGAAATTTATTTATATCATTTTTTATTGTATAAGAGGGTCTCTATTACGAGCGAGCGGGAGACATAGTTAAAAAAATTAAAACAATTATGTTTAATTTATTTCTTAGACCGGCTGCTTTTCAGTTGGGGCAGGGTGTCTGTAAAACGAAAAATAAAAAAATGTGTGACCTTAATGTAATTTAACAAAGTGTTGCATTGCAAATTCATGAGTATGGTTTTACGCCACTTTTAGCAATATTCCAATATTCCTTTACTCACAATACTTATTGTCTTATCTCTCCCTCTTCTGGATGAGATCGGACAATGTCCGACATTTCGTTTATCTTCATACCCCAGCTACATCTATGGGTGACAAGTCACTAGACATTTCCCTCTTAAAAATAAACGTGGTCCAGTACATGACGTCATCAAGTTGCGAGTGCATGTTGGAATCTCCAGAAATGACAGACAGACAGTTTATTCAGTAATTTAGGCATCAAGGCCCATAGCACAATGCAAGTTGGATATTAACATTTGTCCCGTGATGTACATTGATTAGATTTTAAATCACGTTACACATTCCTCATTATAAATACATGTTTTAAGAAAACAGAAACAGCATGGATCCTATCAGGATTTTCAGAGTTTAGCAGATTTATCATTAACTGACGGTCTTTTAATTTTAAATGGGAATACGTTTCACATATAAGTAAGACATGGTATTCATCCTCTACTTCCCCGGATGAACAGTTTGTACAAAGATAGTTCACAATATCACCGTCTTTGGACCTTCGACATACATTTACATTAAAATTGTGCTATGAAATTCTAAGTTTACAATAAGTTCTGATTAACTTTTATCATTTAATGAAATGACGTCATGACAGAACACTGTTTTATCGGGAAATATACCACGCTTCGTTTTTTAATTGTTCTTTGGGATTTATCCCGTGGCTATCTTTTATCATGTGACAAAGCTGTTTGTGCCGTCGTGTGACACCATGATGAGGGCTGTATACCTATTACTCTGAGATGTAATATAACATGACAACATGTATTGTATTTTATACTTTTGTTGATCTCTGTTTTGATACCTGATGTATGAGTGGAAGATCTGATTAAATACAGTATGGAAGATAACAGCACGGTCTCTTGTATCATTTGCTGTCATATGGATGATAATACAAACTGTCCTTGTTGTTTCAATTGAGTATCACAGTGGAGAAGTCAATTCCATTAGTCTCTTGGACCGCCTCCGTGGTCTAGTGGTAGAGCGTCCGCCCGGAGAGCGGAAGGTCCGGGGTTCGATCCCCGGCCGTGTCATACCAAAAATACATTGAAGGATGGCACTTGTTACCCTCCAGGGCGCTCGGCATTATGGGGCTAAAACAAGGACTGCTCGGCTCAGGGTCAGTATACTGTATTTGAGTGGGGTATTCATATTAAAGCTACGGCATGATATCCCAGTGGGCTAGCACTTAAAAATTGGTATTAGTCAGGATTAGTACAAGCACACACACACACACACACACACACACACACACACGTGCATGTAGATAATATATAAAATACAATAATCTTGGAGGCGGCGTTGACCTCCATTTCACCTCACATCACAGTCTCTTAATTGTTTCAGTCATTCACAGTATGATGACAATACAACATGTTATTAAAAGCTTGTTTCAATCATTCATGGCAGGGAAGATAACACCAAAAGCTCAAACATTAATATATTGAACAACAAAAGTTCCTGGGACATTTAATGCAAAGTTATGTTTTTTCCCAAATCTGAAACAATTTCGGTTTGCAACAGATAAAAGACTCCAGTCAGTGTTCAAATAGTTTAATTTGCCATACTGACTTCAGAAAATGTGTGATTTTATAAAAAAAACCCATGAACATGCCAAACTGTCAATTGACAAATCAATGGTGTGTGTGTCCACCTCTGGTTGCGATGCAAGCAACACCTCTTCGTCTCATGGAATGGAACAGGCGTCTCACAAAGTCCTGTTGGATATCTGTCTATATCTGCTGGAGCATGTTTCGAAGTTCCTGGAGTGTCTGTGGAACACGTGGTTGACGTCGTAGGCGCCGATCCATCTCATCCCACATGTGCTCGATTGGTGAGAGATCAGGGGAGCGAGCCGGCCAGGGGATGACATTCACGTTGTTTTGTTGAAGTGAATCCTGAACAAGTCGAGCAATATGAGGCCGGGCATTGTCATGTTGAAAGCTAATGCCTGGGCCATGACGACGCAAAAACGGTAGAACAACAGGGCTGATGATCTCGTCGCGGTAGCGCTGTCCATTGAGATTTCCCTCTACCACTATCAAACGGATCCTCGATGACTTTTTGAACAAATTGAAAAAACGGAACATTGAGGCGCTCCCACTAAAAGTTACTCCCTTTCATCTACACACTGCTGCTATTGTTTATCCGTGGGCGAGGGAGGAGATTTCATTATCAGTTGGCACAGCAGATTTACAGGGTTGGGCACTGTGGATGACCAAAACCATGATTCTCTGCATTGTGCTCCTTGACACCAAACCAAGATTTGAAGATGATTTTACATATTAGACATAGACTGTCGCATGGGGTCTCATAATATTAGATATTAAAAGTCAATTTAACCCCAAAATTATTTAAACAATGGATTCATTTCAGAGACTTAATGTTAGTCTAGAATGCCACTACAATATCTGAAACCTGTTCATCCTATATTATACTGATGTGACACTCAGCAAATAGCCTTGACAGGTGTACCCAGCAATACCCCTCCGACAGGTCTGGCCCTGACAGGTGAACCCGAGATACCCTTCTAGCTGGTGTCAAAGGGTATTACTTCATAATTTTATTATTCCTTTGGACTTTTTTCTCTAGGAACAGTTTTTACTAGGAATTATTTTTCACACCGGGATTTTGTTCTCTGTCATTCTCTAAGTGTTGTTTATCTCGAATGAGTGAGGTGAAGTTTTAGTGTGATATAGAGAGCAAATGAAATGCCATTATATTTGACATTACTCTGATAAATCCATCTATGGAATGCTACTTTACAGTTGATACAATTGTTTCAAACATTTTTGGATTTTGGGAGAGGTTTTGTGTTTTTTGTTGTAATGGAACCCTGGCCTGACAAACTACTGTATTTCCTGTAATAACACTGGCCTCTAATACATAAACACTCCTTGATTATCTAGTGTATTGTATCTACATCCATTCTAATACATACACCTAAAACACTCCTTGATTATCTAGTGTATTGTATCTACATCCATTCTAATACATACACCTAAAACACTCCTTGATTATCTAGTGTATTGTATCTACATCCATTCTAATACATACACCTAAAACACTCCTTGATTATCTAGTGTATTGTATCTACATCCATTCTAATACATACACCTAAAACACTCCTTGGTTATCTAGTGTATTGTATCTACATTCCATTCTGTTACATACACCTAAAACACTCCTTGGTTATCTAGTGTATTGTATCTACATTCCATTCTAATACATACACCTAAAACACTCCTTGGTTATCTAGTGTATTGTATCTACATTCCATTCTAATACATACACCTAAAACACTCCTTATTATCTACTGTATTGTATCTACATTCCATTCTAATACATACACCTAAAACACTCCTTGGTTATCTAGTGTATTGTATCTACATCCATTCTAATACATACACCTAAAACACTCCTTGGTTATCTAGTGTATTGTATCTTCATCCATTCTGAAACATACACCTAAAACACTCCTTGATTATCTAGTGTATTGTATCTACATCCATTCTGATAGATACACCTAAAACACTCCTTGATTATCTAGTGTATTGTATCTACATCCATTCTGATACATACACCTAAAACACTCCTTGATTATCTAGTGTATTGTATCTACATTCCATTCTAATACATACACCTAAAACACTCCTTGGTTATCTAGTGTATTGTATCTACATTCCATTCTGATACATACACCTAAAACACTCCTTGATTATCTAGTGTATTGTATCTACATTCCATTCTGATACATACACCTAAAACACTCCTTGGTTATCTAGTGTATTGTATCTACATTCCATTCTGATACATACACCTAAAACACTCCTTGGTTATCTAGTGTATTGTATCTACATTCCATTCTGATACATACACCTAAAACACTCCTTGGTTATCTAGTGTATTGTATCTACATTCCATTCTGATACATACACCTAAAACACTCCTTGATTATCTAGTGTATTGTATCTACATCCATTCTGATAGATACTCTGGGCAAATTCACCACATAGCTTGGTTTCAAGTACATCGACGGTGGATTGTCAAGGATGGGTCAAAACCAAACTCGGAGAATAGTACAGGCCGGGTTTCTGTCATGGCGGTCCAGTACAACATACTGAAGGTGCTGGTAGTATCAAGACTACGGACTGTCCATGGAGTGTGGGGAAACTGAGGTCGCCATCTCCAGTATGTCTGAAACAACATGCCAGGTAGTGGTTGATAGCATGAACACACCAACAGCCAGATTCCACTTACATTAACCTTCAGGAGATTGGTTCTGGAGCACCCAACCCGTTGGGGTTACTTGTAAGTTGTAGACTGCCGAAGACATGGCTTTCGTGGGTTCAGTAGCGTTTACCATTGTTTTGTTGTCTTAAACATAGATCTAAGTCCGTTGGAAGTGTACCTAAATGTGAGAACCTATCTAATACTGACCAAGCACCGTTCTGTTTCGCAGATTGCGCTCATATATAATCGGAACAGAAGCATACAAAATCAGTCATGTCTTGACAGCGGCCCTGCCTCAAGTAGGAATGTCTATCTTTTTAATAATTAATGTTCATACGCCTCCGTGTCACAATCACGATGTCCTGGGTTATTTGTGTTGAATTCCGACACAGAAAGAAGCCGAACATACGGAATAAATCCAATGCTGTAAAATCCATGCCGGTGATATGGGCGATAACTCCTGTTGACTTAGTTTCTAATTTCCTCACACAAGAAGATCACGTTCAGGTCAAGCGGATCCCAGGTGTGGAGGGTGGCTTCCCACCTTGTCTACACACCTTGTTAACTGCTCGGGTAGTATGTGCACTCCTCCTCCCCCTCCCTCCCCCATGCAGTGTTGCCAAGAAGTAAAGTATTGATAACTGTTCACCGTTTCAATTGTTTCATTCATTCTAAATGATGGATTATTGGTCCTTAATTGAAACAAAGCGTGTGGAAGACTGAATTATTGATACGTTAATTAGGAGTTCGCAGACGAAAAGTAGGAAAACATCATCTTTTTGTAAATCAATCCAAATAAGTTATTTTGGAAAAGAAATGAAGGTGTTTTTATGATTTCTAACAGGTAGGTCATGGCTGTTCTTGGCATTGTTAGTTTCCATGTGGAGTAGAAAAACCTATAGCAGGTAGGAACCTTAATGAATAAACCAGCATCCTTTTACACCTAATGGCATGCGTGCAATTTAAATTAAATACAATTAAGTGCGGCCAACTTTATGTCTGGGCAGATAGATCAACCAACAGTACACTGAGACGGGATTAACTTAATTTGAACTTCATAGGTGCTAACAGATAGGTTTCCCCAATAGGTACGAACATATAGGTTTCCCCAATATGTACTTACATATAGGTTTCCCCAATAGGTACTAACAGATAGGTTTCCCCAATAGGTACTCACAGATAGGTTTCCCCAATAGGTACTAACATATAGGTTTCCCCAATAGGTACTAACAGAAAGGTTTCCCCAATAGGTATTAACATATATGTTTCCCCAATAGGCACGAACACATAGGTTTCCCCAATAGGTACTAACAGATAGGTTTCCCCAATAGGTACTAACAGATAGGTTTCCCCAATAGGTACTCACAGATAGGTTTCCCCAATAGGTACTAACATATAGGTTTCCCCAATAGGTACTAACAGAAAGGTTTCCCCAATAGGTATTAACATATATGTTTCCCCAATAGGCACGAACACATAGGTTTCCCCAATAGGTACTAACAGATAGGTTTCCCCAATAGGTACTAACAGATAGGTTTCCCCAATAGGTACTAACAGATAGGTTTCCCCAATAGGTACTAACAGATAGGTTTCCCCAATAGGTACTAACAGATAGGTT